GGACATCTGTTCACACTCATCCAGCTGTTCTGCTCTGAGCCCACGTGGACATCTAATCACACTCATCCAGCTGTTCTGCTCTGAGCCCATGAGGACAGCTACTCACACTCATCCAGGCTTGATGCTATTTCCTGTGATACCAACATAGGAAAAATGACAGATGTTTCAAAAAGAACAAGAACCTTCTTGGTTTGTAGAAAAAGTCTTCCCCATTAACCCATTCCTTGTGGTAATTCTGATTTCTTAAAACCTGACACTCATGCCAATGAAGTCCACATGAAATTGTGTGAATGGACCGTGTCACCTATAGACGAGGAGGCACTCTTCTAGGTGTGTACAGGTGACCATAGTACTACCATTGATCTCTGAGTGTTCCCACAAATGCCATATCTCTCTCTAGAGTCCCAGTTTTTTGTTTTTTATTTTTTGGTTTTGTTTTTTGAGACAGAGTTTCTCTGTGTAACAGCATTGGTTGTCCTAAATTAGTTTTTCTAAGCATGAAAATGCAAGGATTTTGCACTTTGATGGTGTAAAATTGCTGAATTAGGAGGTAGAAATTATTTTGGAATAATTGCTATGATGATAGTTAATGACCATTCTCCTCTGAGAGAAATAAACATTGTTTTTACATGCATTCAGGCCTCAAGAGGTGCTAAGTAAAATTTCCTTGTTCCTTGAGAATACAATATCTTGTCTTCTACCTAGAGAATAGTTTGTGCGTACTATAGGAGTGGTTCTCAACCTTCCTAATGCTGCAACCCTTTAAATACAATTCTTCATGTTGTGGTGTGTCCCCCCAACTATAAAATCATTTAGTTGCTACTTCATAACTGTCATTTTGTCACTGTTATGGATCATCATGTAAATATCTGATATGCAGGATTTCTCATATGCAACCCACAGACTGAGAATCTCTCCGTTAGAGGTAACATGTAAAACTGTAGACTTCCGCTTTGCTGTGTTCATTGTCAAGAAGCGTGCCTTGGTGCTCTAAGCCCTGTGAATACTAACAGAGCTGGATTTTTGCCATTCCAGGACATAGTTCATGCACCCTGATGTTCTAATAAAGAAAAAGTTCTTAGAAGATAGTCAGTCTAAGGGCAGGCAGTGAGAAGTGACTGTTACCTCATCAGCCTGGGCTCATCCTGTGCTAGCATAGAAGATTTAGAAACCTTGCCTCAGTTATTAGCTCTGCTGACTCCTCATGTGCAGAAAGCAATTGGCACTGAACCTCTTATACAGAAGGACCAGGACTCAGAGAGCTTAGTGTGCTTGCTCAAGGGCACAAATCTAAGTAGATTCTGGTTAGTGTGTTGCCCACTTGCAAGGCTTACATTCTACTTTCTATGCCCTAGTAGGGCAGTGAGAATACTCCTGGTTTTAATTTATTTTACTTTAAAGCAGGATAAGCCATAAATATAGTGCAATATTTTGAGTACAGATCTAGTAAAAAAAAAAAAAAGCTTTTATACTCTTTAAAATGGTCATCTGTTCTCTTTTTAGATGAAGGCAGTCACTTTGGACAAATTTCTAAGCCTGGCGCATATTTGGAAAGCTTTGCAAAAAGAAATTAAACTAACAGATCTGCAGAAAGTGGAATGAATTTATAGAATTGGCAGCAGTCCTGGCCTTGTTTGACAGTGTCCTCATCTCCACGTATCTGCTTCTTCCGTAGCATCCTCTACTGCTTACCCATAGCCGACTGGCAGGGCTTTTGAGTTCTGGTTTTGCTACCCATTCAAGTCCCAGGTAAATAAGGTGAGAACATTCTTGAGTGGATAGTACTGTCTTTGCGTTAAGTCCACTTTGTGGTTTTTTCATAAGCTAGTCCCAATTTTAAGATCTGCAAACATATATTAATTTTAATCCTTAAGAATATTTGAAGAATTTTAACTTCACAAAAATCACCGTTTCTTAAGAAAGACTATGACAGCTTGCTAAAGAAAACATGTGTTCTTAATCACCATTCATAATTATTACACACAAATTCTGTAAGGAAATGACAAGGTAGTTTTCTTATTGTACAGTAGAAAACAGTGAGATTAGGATGTGAAAAATGACTCGTCCAAGGTCACTCCTGCTCAGTAGCACAACTAAGAATAGATCCAGGTCGCCTGACACCCTCGCTTTGTCCATTACATCACTGAACTCCTTTCTGGAAGGAATTGCTCTTCTAATTCCAAAAAAAAATGAAGAGGGCAAAGGGTAGTGACATCCTAGACTCAGTTTGGGTGACTTGGCGTTTTCGTCCCCTCCCACACTTACTTTCACTTTAAGATGAAACGTATCCATAGCTGTCAGTTTATCACTATTGACTAAATTCAAGAGCTCAGGTAGGTCAGATTTATTATGAAATGTAAGTCACAAGCTGAACAAATGACCAAGCAAGGCGGCACTTCTACTTGAAGCACACCTACAAGAAAGCAGACAAAGGGAAGGGTCTAGCCTGGGAATACACACAGAGAGCTGTGTGGTAGCCTGGGAATACACACAGAGAGCTGTGTCATGGGCCCTGGAAAATAGCATAAGAAAATGAATGCCATGAACACAAAGAGACTTGAAAAACTGTTCTGATAATTTTTTTAAAGGAGTGTAGAGGGCTTTCACTGTTACAGTTTCCTTTCCACGATCAATCCAGAGTGGGGAGACAGAATTACTAAAGTCTCATTTTGCTTTGGTCTGTTTCATCCAAGCCAAGAAGATGAGTATCCCCATCAGTGAGAACAGCCGCGAGACAGGAATCTTCCCTCTTTATTCACTAAAAGCAACTTTTATTTCTGTTTTCATCATGCTCTTTCTTGTGAAGGTCAAGTAGTTGGCCTCCACCATCCTTAGCGCTCTAGCACTGCCCAGAACTGTGGTCTGGGAGAATCGTAGCATGCCCCAGCGTTGGCAGAGGGGCCTTCTGGTCATGGAGTAGTAGGCCACATGACTGGTACTGTGGCACCCAGCATTTTGCCATCACAACTCTCTCAACTGTAGTGTTCAGATCACAATCTTCGTGACGTCTCCTGTGTACCCACCTACCTGCACATACTACACACACACCTGCAGGGTGTTATGGCTTCCTTGGTGACTGCCAGGAAGCAAGGCATGGATCTCCCTTTTTTGGGTCTTTACATCTCTCTCCCTCTTTACGTCTCAGAACTCTGAGAGAGCCCTCCCTTCTTTCATGTTTTTTTTTTTGGGGGGGGAACTCTTAATATCTAAAGTTCTCTCTCTCTCTTTTAATAGTCTCCAAGAAATTCTCTAAGAAGATTGTATATCCTCCTGAGAAATTCTTCTGAGAGATTGAGATTTGGGGAGATCTAGAACTACTGATCAGCTATTTCTGTTTTTCTACTTACCTCACTTGTCCTGATGCACTTACTTCCCATTTGGATGCCTATCCAGGAGAAAGGCAGGAAAATAAGATGAATCTAGATTAATATCTCTGAATGTTACTTTTCTCTAGAACCATGGTACCTTTGGGATATATTGTAAATACCCATTTCCCTTCTTCAAAGGACCCATATATTCACCACCACATCTCTGGCCACACCTAGGTAAATGAGCAATAGAGTTTTCACCCAGGAGGGGATACACGAGATATTTTCTTCCGTTTTTTCGACTGGAGGAATACAGAATGTAGGAATCACTCAAGTTAAATTATAGGGAAGCGCTCCAGGGTCCAACCTGAGAAACCGACTCCCTAAGGTTCTGCTTCATCTTCTTCCTGCTCCTGGCAAACTCTCCTCTTTCTCTAATTTCATAAAATGGTCCATGAATGCCCCAGCATCACATTTGCTTCTGGTTTTGATTAAGGTGTCTTAAAACCCAGCCAGATTCGGCCACTTTCGGGCAAATGTAATGTAAGAATGATCCCCACTTTGCCAAGAAAGAAAACCAGGGTGAAGGGGAAACTGAAATCCAAGATAGGTGAAGCAACTGTAAGATAGAGTCTAGCCACCGCGTAGGATGTGTTCATCGAGTGATTTAAAGGGACAGCTGCAGGAGTTGGGTTTGTGATTCCTGAGCACACTTTGCCATGGTTTCAAAAGAATGCTTTTAGTTCTAGCCACTGCCTTGGCTCCTAGAGAGAGCTGAGTGATCATCAGGATTTTCAAAGCTGGAAGCTCTTGCCTTTGAGGGCTCTCTCAGTGCTGGGGATGGAAAAGTCAGGATGAGCTATCTCAGGAAGCAGGAAGTTTGCAGGAGTTTAAAGGGGGCTGGACAAGAGAAGAGCTGGATTACCATACAAGCAGTCAGAGCAAGAAAATGATAGAAATAGATTTGGATCAGAATGAGAGAAATATTTTTACATATTTAGAGCTACCTGGAATGCCATGTGGTTTCCTTTTGTGGTGGAAAAGTGAGTTCAAGGCAAGGTGATTAGGTGTTCATAAAGGCTGCAGTGAAGGAGAGAAGGGGCACAGTGAATAATATCTAAGGTTTCTTTAAAGATTGCATTATTTCCCTGTGAGTAGCATTAACTCCTAGACTATAAATGCCAGCCTACTTTGACAGAATGCAGTAGGAGTTAAAGCTCTTTGCAAACATAGTTTTATGAAATCTCTCTTCTCCTACTAAAACATATATAAAAGCTTCAGAGCTTGATTGGCAGAATTCATTTCCAAAAGTAAAGGTAATAAGAATTTGTTTATCCTTTGTATTATAGTCAGTAGTGATTAGAGTTGTTCATAGGCAATGAGTTGTTCACTGAAGTTGAAAGAAATAACTATTGTAATATGAATATAATGATGCTAAACATGGGGAATGCTGGATTTTTACATAAAATGAGTAGATTCCTTGAATTATTCCAAATTATACCTTAAAGCTTTTCAAATAAATAATGTATTTTAATTTCTGTGTTCTCTGTGCATGTGCACTTGTATGGGTGAGTATGAGTGTGCGCTCATGTGTGTCTGCATTTGGAGGCCAGAGATCGATACCTAATGTCTTCCTTGACTGCTCAATTGTTCATATTAAGGCAGTGTCTCTTGCTGAACCCAGCACTCACCATTCCTACTAGTCTTGTAAGATTCCATCTCTGCCTTTTGAGTGTTGGGAAACCAGGTAGTACTCAATATCCAACCTGACTTTTATATGGCTTTTGGGAACCCAAACTCCAGCTGCCATGCTTGTATAGCAAGGGCTTCATGTTTACACAGCAGGCTGACATTATCTAACAGTAGGTAAAATGCCTGAAAATGAACGTAAAGGAAACGTCCCTAGAAGCTGCACGTATGAGTCATCTTCCCAGCCCTGAAACACACTTTATGAAAATAATGTATGTTGGTTATTAAGAATTCTGATAAGGGGCTGGAGAGATGGCTCAGTGGTTAAGAGCCTTGACTGCTCTTCCAGAGGTCCTGAGTTCAATTCCCAGCAACCACATGGTGACTCACAACCATCTGAAATGAGATCTGGTGCCTTCTGCTGGAATGTAGAGCTCTCATCATAAAATATAAATAAATTAATAAAAGAATTTCAATAAGGCCCAAAATTATGAGAGCAAATAAAAATTATCTCATACTATAATTCCCATTATTAACCTTGGATGCACATTATTTCAGACATCTATATACCTGGATGTTTGTAAATGTTTGTATAGAAATGAATAACAAATATAACAAAAATAATATAAAGTTTTGGATTCCAAGCAATTAGAGAAAATGAAGCTAAAGGAAAAATGAAACTTCAACTAAATTTACCTCATTTCAGATAAGTTATTTCTTTAAAATCTCTGACTAAAAATAATATGAGTTTTGGTTAAAAATAAGTTATACTTATAAATTATTGTCCTCATATAGCATCAACTGATTGCTGTCTCTTCCAGATGTGCACTTTTGAAACTTCTCCCCTCTCTTCCCTACACCTTGAGTATTATTAAATATTCTTACTTCTGTGCCCTTCTATTTTGTTATTCTGTTTGGGGCTGCAAGTGCAATTTGTGTAGTCATGGTGCCAAGCCTAAGTGGCTTTCCTGTATGCCAGCTCTGGGGATGTCTCCTTTGTACTTCATTTTAAGGTATTTTACCTACTGTTAGATAAATGTCAACCCACTATGTCGGCATAATCCCTAACGCTTTAGATCTCTGAAAATGTATGAACTGCTAGCCTTATTGTTTGCTCACCAAAATGTTATTGCATATTAACTTACTACCTGGAGTTTCCACAGAAAATCCATGTTAAAGCACACATAACCCACCCCTGTCCTCAAAGAATGAGTGCAGCCAACATACAGTAAATTCCTCTTGTGTTGGCTCCAAGGCAGCTGTTTTACTATTATTTTCCCCACATAAGACCTGGCATTCCATCGTCATTTGATAAATATGTGTTTTACGAAGTCTTTCTGGGCCATTTGCTGTGATAAGTGTGTGAAAAGTTGTGTCTAATTTTTGTCTTGATCCATTAGGAAGACATATACTGTGTCTATTCTATAGATGGCAAAGTTGAGTCTTGGCAAGTAATATCCTGATTTTACAAAAGGAGTCGAGTGTCAATTTCATGGCATCAGGACTGGGTCATTGGTTCTTAGCGGTAATGGAGGAAGGAGAAGCACTCCCATTGATGTGATCCTGTGAGGTGAGGTGTATAGCTATGTATGGACAGTCTAAGAGTTAGAAGGCTCTTTGGTCCAGGATCCCTGCTATCTACTTACTAGATGTATAATAACAGAAAAGCCCTTCACTCCCCTAAGCCTTTTTTTTTTATTTCTGTAAACTAGGGTTACAGTGAGAGTATTAAATGAAATAATGTAAATTAAATAC